GTTTACATATGTATATATATATAAAATTATTCCTACACTAATTAGAAAACTCTCAATGTACACACCACTCGTTTAATTCTATCCTAAAAAAAATCCCGCACATCTAACCAAATAGTAGTATATATATAATATGAATATGAGAATGAATTGGAAAAACGACAAACCACCCTCAATACTGAATCCACCCCATTAGTTTGCTCTAAAGAACTATTTTCTCAAATAAATTATTTGCATTCTTGGCCCAGTAAAGAATAAAGAGCAAATGAAACCTTCTAAATTTTAAATATCCCCTAATCCTAAAGACAAAATTCGTTTTAAATTGAATTTTTGTTTGTTAAAGTAATTTCTAATTGTTTGAAAATTGAAATTAATTCATGCATCATTCGTCGTCTGCTTTATCAAGAATGGACGCGTCTGAAAATTTATTGTAAAATACGTAAAAATATCGATTTATGTAGCATACAAATAAATCTGCACAAAATTAGGTTACATCAATTTGAAAGCAATGAATAAAGAAAATGAAAATATAACACCAACCACAACATTACCACTACACAATAAGAAAGAAGAGGGGGAGGAAGAAGAATCAAGACTAAATTCTGAGTTAATAAAAAAAGATATTGAAAAAGTATAATTATTATCATTACTATTCAACTATTCAATTGATTAACTTTTATTGTTATTTAATTAATTTATAATTATAATTTATAAATAGGGTATAATCACTGTTAATGAAGATGAATCAACAAAACAAAATTCCTTAGAGCCGGAACTTAGTAAACTTGATAAAATTCCAAAGGTGAAAACACACAAAAGGAGGAAATGATTTAGAGTTTTTTTTTTGATTTTTTCTCAAATTATTAATTGTATTTCTTTCCAAATTTAATAGTTTGAACCATTGGTTAAACCAAATGTCAATGATTCAGGTTTTTCATTAATTGGATTTTGGAACTCTTCTAATCATTCAATGAATAAAAATGAAAAAGATCGTATGTTATATGTTTATAGCTGTTATATTAGTTATATTTACGTTATAGTAATAATAATAATCTGATTGATGTATTTAGCATCTTTTAATTATGATTCTTTATACAATTTTTT